TAGGTGTATGTGGCTGGCGCCCTAGCCGCCTGAGCCACAGGCGCCGAGCCCAAATCAATCTTTTTTAAAAATTGGGTATCATTCCTATGAGCTTACATCCTACACTGCCAAAAGTTGCGAGGAAAGAGTTAAGAAAATAGATTATTCTCCTTTGTATAATCAGAAATAGTAGTGTTTGAATTTTTTACTTAGGTGCCCAGAATTAAAATCTTTGTCAATGACTAAGAATTACATAAGAAGTGCCACAATTAAAAACATGTAAAATAAACATACCGTAGAAATCTACATAATTATTTATTGTCCTATCTTTCTCATGTACTACTGTTAACTTACTAATTCTAGAGCAGTCATATAAAATACTTAAATCCAGAAATTAACAGATTGTTAGAGCTGGAGAATAGAGCTGACTTTCATAAGAGAACACTGTAGTTTTTGCTTGTGAATGAACTTCTGTATGATTTTATACTTACTCCATTTGGGAAAAAAAGAGACTACCCATTTTTTTTCTTTGTTATTTACCCTAAGCTGGAATATCAGACCTAGATTCAAGTTCACTGAAGTATACTTGAAGGGTGTTATGTTTGGAAGCATAAATTATGTTATTTGAATAAACATAAACTACAAAGAAATCATTATAGCCATCATAGCAGGAGCAGAATCCCACAGCCTCTACGAACAATTTTGCAATTCAAGTCCATGTGGAAATGGTAATTTCCCTTCCTAAAGAGAAATACAGAATGGCATTCATTATGATTAAGACCTTGTAAGTACAGAAAAGTGGAAGTGTGAAATTTATAATACTATAAACATGCTTATTATACAAACATCACTGCAGACTGGGCCTAGATTTTTTTTCAGTCTTTGCTCATCTTACAAGGGCTTGGAGCCTCATGAAATGAGAGCTGTGCTGGCCTTTGAATAACAGGGTCAGTGTCTTTTTTTCTTTTTTTGTGGCCCAGTTTGCAGGGGGAAGTTAATAGCAAAAATTCCTTCAAATTTCAAAACATTCAAAATGGATGTTGGAAAGAAAATGCTTGTAGTGTTTAGAAATCTGGGGAAATTACTTGGAGAAAAGAGATATGTAAAGAGATGAGGAAGATGTAGAGAGAAAAAAGCAGCACTGAGAACAGCCACCAAAGAAGTAGGTTTTGACTGCAGCAGAATCAGCCCCCGGGGGTGGGTATGGCTGCTGCAGGGGAGCGGCTAGCTTGCATTGGCCCCTTAGGGGCTCAGCTCTGTGGGTGCTGTGCTCTACCAGCCCTGCACCCTCCCTCTGCAAGCACATCACAGAAATGTGCTGACCCACAAGGCGGCCTGCTATGTATGGTATGGTCGGCTCCTGCCCACTGGTTCTCATTCAATTCTGAGAAAAATCAACAAGAGTCTCTCCTGCATGAGGGAGGCAAGCAAGAGTGTTGAGGTCTAGGCCAGAGGCTTCACACCCATGGTATTCAGGGAGGTCTTGTGTTTAAAGAACAAGCTTGTCCTGTGAAAGCAAGTTAATTGCACATAGCCACATCCTACCTTTCCTTGGGGACACTGAGGAATACAATCTTAGGCAACTACGACTTGTTTCTAGGCTAGTGGTGAATTAAAAGGAGTGAAAAAGAAAATACTATTCCAGAGTGGCCAACCTAAGGCCTGAGGGCCACATGCTGATTTTGTGAGGCCTTTTTCGGGGGTGGGGGGTTATCTGTGTTGTTTTTGCTAATCAGCTTTCCTTAGCATTAGTGTAATTAATGTGTGGCCCAGGGCAACTCTTATTCTTCCAATGTGCAGCAGAAAAGAAAAAAGGATAGACATCTCTGGAAAGAATTTGTTTTTAAAGAAACAGCAATACACAAAGGAGGATGGGAACATGTTGCTAAAAAAAAAAAGGTACTCATCTCTAATATCTGATAACTTCCCCAAATGTTATATTTTCAATTCATCAACCTTCAGCGCCTGTATTTGAGAAGGGAACTTCGGTTCGTTAAACATGTAACATTTCCCTTCCCGAGAGAGCACTGTGCCATATGCACGTGGGATGAAAAGATGACTAAAACCCCATCACCGATGTGTCTGCATCATCACCAACGCCACAAAGCAAAATTTAATCCTCTCTGAGGGAGCTTTTAGAATTTCAAAACATTGTTCAGCTGATACTCATCTTGGATAGAGTATGTTCATAATGTAATTTTTTAAATGATCTGTTCTATTACTATTATACATATCTTTATAATTAATTTTGAGTTTGTGCCCTTCTCTGTGCTAAGTGTTCTGCACATGATTCCATCCATTTTTTTTTTTTTTAATTTAGCAAAAAACTGAATAAAGAAATTTGTCCAAGGCACACTATCCAGTGATTGGCCGAGCTGAAACTTTAAGACATTAACAGCTTGTGCTCATAACTACTAGTGAACAGGGCTTGGCAAAAGTTCTCTATAGCAGGGCAGAGAGTAATTCCTTTAGGCTTTGTAAACCATTCTATCTCAGTCACAACTATCCAATTCTGGGCAGTGCCTGTGGCCCAGTGAGTAAGGGGCCAGCCCCATATAATGAGGGTGGTGGGTTCAAACCCGACCCCAGCCAAATTGCAACAAAAAATAGCCGGGAGTTGTGACTGGTGCCGGTAGTCCCAACTACTCGGGAGGCTGAGGCAAGAGAATTGCCTAAGCCCAAGAGCTAAAGGTTGCTGTGAGCTGTGATGCTACAGCACTCTATTGAGGGTGACAAAGTGAGACTTTGTCTCTAAAAAAAACAAAACAAAACTCAACTATCTAATTCTGCAGCCATAGACAATGCAGAAATAAATGGGTGTGGCTGTGTCTCAATAAAACTTTATTTCTAAAAATAAGTACAAGCCATAATTTGTGCCTCCTGCTCTAGATGCAATTTTGTATGGAGTAGGGGGAAATACATGTTTGTTCTGACACACAAGCTCTTCTAGGGGAGTAGCTCTGACTCAACAAGTGTTTCACAGAATGGGTTGGGGGTCTAGTTATTTAGGAATTCATAGTCTAATTTGGAAAGGCAAGATTTGTCATTTTGTTCTAAGAACAAAGTAAATGGTGCTGCATGAATTGCTTAAAGGGTGGATACCATCACTAAGGATGGTGGGACTACATCTGGCCACGAAGTTTTGTTTTTTTTTTTTTTTTTTAAGACAGAGCCTCAAGCTATCCCCCTGGGTAGAGTGCTATGGCATCACAGCTCACAGCAACCTCCAACTCCTGGACTCAAGTGAGTCTCCTGCCTCAGCCTCCCAAGTAGCTGGGACCACAGGCGCTCGCCACAACACCTGGCTATTTTTTGGTTGCAGCTGTCATTGTTATTTGGTGGGCCCGGGCTGGATTTAAACCCGCCACTTTAGGTGTATGTGGCTGGCGCCTTAGCCACTTGAGCCACAGGCGCCAAGCCATGGCCACGAAGTTTTACAAAAAAAATTATTTCCTGAGTATTCACTATGTGTCAAGAATCATACTAAGTGTTACATATATATCTCTGACAGTGTACAAAGCAATTCCATGAGTTTGGTCCTAAGGCCCCGAAAAACCAAGTGACTGGAAGGAGGGTCTACAAATAGGAAGTGTTGGAACTTGGATTTGCACCTGGCTAGACTGACTTCTTTATTATAGAACTGTGTTCTCTCCTCAGACAGAGGCAGAGGTGGGCTGCGACTAACGGAACAGGAGCTGAAGAGTGAACTATGACGGCTGGTACACAATTCGTCAAAACTACTCCACTGTTCCTTTCTCTCATCTGGTTATTTCAGAACAGATGAGAAGTTATTCATTTTTCTGTGACTTTTACTCTTATTAAGGAATGAAATACTTTGTGCCATTAAAAGAGAAGGTAAACAATAATTCCCATTCATTAATCACAACACACAGGTTCTGCAGGGCAAGCACATAACCGTGCACTGTATACAACATGTTAACTCTTGCAAGGGCAGGAGGCAAAGCCTACCCCAGCGACTTACTCAGTGGCCTGACAAGTGCTGACTTACCATCATATTCTGGGAAGTAGTCGACTAGATGGGAATACATGATTTTCTCCTCTAGAAGATCTTTCTTGTTTAAGAACAGAATAACCGAGGAGTTCTGGAACCAGGGATAGGTGATAATTGTTCTAAAGAGTGCTTTGCTTTCCTCCATTCGGTTCTGGAAAAAACAATCATCAGAAAAACAAGGAGTGAATCTGTGATTATTCAATCTGTGAACTGTGTCTATTTCATAAGCCCAGCCCATCTTTTGTATGCATCCCGTTTTTTAGCTTCTGGATGGGTTGTCGGGATTTATACGCAAATGATTTACGACACACATTGGCTCTTTTCATTATGCAAACTCTCGGGCTGACAAGCAGAAGAGAATAATAATAATAATAAATATCTGTTGAAATAACTCATGGTTGAAAGAGAAAATAATCAAAGCCCAGAGAATCATGTTGTATCTGGCACGCTGTCATAAATTTCCTCCAAGAATTATTCATTCCGGACTACATGCTTAAGATCTGAATTAAGAATGAAATAGTAGGCTTCATTTTGTGTTTCCTAAACTACATTTATTTGGGGGCCTCCTAATTAACTCTATTTGAAACAACTTAAACACAGCATATCTTTATTTCCAGAATTATTGCTCTTTTATATGTACTCCCTATATATACACACATATATCCCTTGATAAACATATGAAAAAATATTTATTATCAAGCATTTCCTATTCATCAGCGCACATTTTCTTCCTATGCTTCCTATATATTTATACAGAATTGTGGAGACATAACATGGTAACGACCTGGAGATACAAATGTAATATTTTTCACCTTCAGCATTTTAAGCTTCTCACCTGAGGAAGCTGTATGTTCAAGCCCATCTTGGTAATAGAGACCTTAAATGAATTCTCCAGAAAATCAAGTCATCTTGCTCTTAGAAGTGAAGATGTTCACTGAGGCTATCCCTGAATCAAATCACTCCTCTTAATAACAAAATGATCATCAGCCTCCGAGCTTCTTCAGTATCCCTTTACCAGTTCTTTGTACCACAGATGCACCCACCTCTCTAAATCGTTCCCACTCTCGGGTCAGGGATAAGTGCTGCAGATTTGGGGGATTCTCCTTTCCCCGAGGATATAAAAGCCACTTCATCTGGGACGTACTTTCCAACCCCTTACTTAGTTCTATGTGTTATCACTGAGTTTTAGGCGATGGAAAAGCCTGCCTGGAACTGAACTGAGCCCACCTCATTGCTAAGGTATGGCTTGGTGGTTCAAGCCAAAACATCCTAGTCTCTCCACGTGGGGTGTCTCGGGGCTGGGCTGTGATCCAGGCCCAAGTCACTCCGGCTTCTCTCCTTTCATTTATGGTACTCAGTTTAGCCAAGCACCTCAACTGAGCCTGTTAACCCCAGGATTCTTGCTGGGAACATAGGAACAGGGAGCCTTGCTTTTGTGGAGTATGGAGGAGGCATCTTGGAGCCTCATGAGTTTCACAACCTTGAAACTGAGGTCTTGCCACCCGGGTTTAGCTGTTTGCTCAGACCACAGCTGAACCTGTTCATGCCTTTGGGTTTCCAGTCACATCAGTCAACAGCATCTTTTGCTTTTTAATCAAGTTTGACTGGTGTTTTTCTGTTTTTTCTTTTTTTTAATTGTACACTATTATTATTCTCCAGTTGATACCTGGATCTGTACCCCTCCAAATTTATAAAAGGAAGGTACTGATACTTGAGGCTATCCCTGAATCAAATCACTCCTCTTAATAAAAAATGATCATCAGCCTCATAGCTTCTTCAAGACTGGGAATTGCAGCTGTGAAGGTCTTCAGCTCGGTTTTGCCCTCCGGCTGTGGAATGGCCCAACCCTCAAAGTGCAGAGTTGCAAAGGCCACACAGGCTTCAAAGAAACAGAGCAACGGCCAGATCTGAGATATGTCTTGCTCTTTTCTTCTGTAAAGTGTGCCAATTCAAATCATGCAGATCTTTGCCGAATCCGGTAAAGCATACTGTCTCTAATTTCTTAACCTGTTAATTTTGTCCCTACAACTGCTTAGATAATGAACAACAATGAAACACATGGGCTGACGCGGTGAGAGATTATCGCATGGCTCAAGGGACAGGGGTTTATTTCACCGCATACATTTCTCTTTTACGTAAGTGACATGCACAGCCTTTAAAAATATTTTTACTATTTACTTGCCTTTTGGTGGGTATCATAGCCAATGTTAAGATTTTAAGTCACAGAAATAACAGCCACTGAAAAAATAGATCTCATAACTTAAAGTTTTATAGACTGAGAATTTAGGGCTGAAGAAATTGAAAGGCCCTATTAAGAACCAAAATAATTTTTTAAAAATTCAAAGAAGAAATAGTGACATCTATGATGGGAGAGTTAACCATTTTCTCCCTTAATTATAGGGAGAAATTCTAGAAAGTCACACTGAGGTCCCTGCAGAAGCCCTGTCCAAAGGGTAGGTATGTACCCCTTGGCATCAAATGATGAGTCTCTAATAGAAATACTCATTATATTTAGTATTCTTCAGAAGGGGCCTTACTTGGACCTTTTCTGGGTGGAGTCCGTCAAGTGGAAGAGGCTAGAACATGGGAAGAGACAGGGAGAGGGGGCCTGACTTTGTGGTTAATACAGGAGGTGTGTCAGGTCTCTGTGATACGGTTTTGGATGAAGTCTGCTGGGAGGGGGTCTTGCACTGGTCCATGGGACAGTGGCCAGGAAAGAGACTAAGCCCAGCACTGTGCTCCAGGGAGACCCTCCCAGAGGGCTGTCCCTCTTTACCTAGCCTGAGGCACTCACAGTAACTCTGGTAGTCTGTCCTGGGGAGCATTTCCCTGTTCACCATCTGCTATGTGGAGTGGAGCCTGATTGTCCAATTCAGAAGACAGACAGAGAGCAGAAGTGGGCAGCTGACTGGCAGCAGAGTACCATGGGCCTTCAAATAGACCAAGCAAACAGTCTCAGAGGTGGGGCTGAAGAAGCTGCATCTAGCCCCCCAAGTGGTCCTGACACACACTCAACTTGGTGAAGCACTGGGCTGAACACCAGCTTCTCCACTGTTACTGTCATTTTGAGTCACCTGGCGGTCCTGATGCTTCTGCATCAGCATGGGTAGAGCCCAGGGTTCGCATTTTGAACAAGCTCCCAGGCACAGCTGAGGCTGAAATTCTCAGACTACACACTGAGTTGGCTGGAAGGTGCAGAAAGCTTGCTGAGCCAGGGATGATGAAGGGGAAGGTGACAGTTTATCTTGTTTTTGTGATAAGAACAGCAAGGTGACACATACAACTGGATAGCTGATTACTGCATCAAAATCCAACTTTTTGTTTTTCCCAGTGAAGCTGAGTTACGACTCTTACTTTATGCCACGACTTATTTTTCACTCCATAGTGAAAATGCCTTATGCTCTTTTATTTGCTCCTTCATGGTGAATACTGTAAGCTGCCAGGGTCTGTCATCAAGCCTGGACTGAGTGAGGTTGTCACGATGACACACAGGTAGCGGAACATGGACAGTGGGAGGCGTAATCCACTGTGCTTGGTACAAACTGAAATCTAGGAGTGAACAGCACGTCCCAGGAAACTCTGTGGCACTTGCTTTTCAGTAATTTGTCAGGGTATGAGGGTTCAAGGGGGATCAACATATGAGACACTTGTATGACCCACGACTAAAAATCAGGATGCTTTGTTTACTCTGAAGATAGGTCGGAAGGCTGTTCTTCCCTGGGGTTTTAAATAGTTGGGAAATGTACAAAGAGGCACTAGGAAAGTTTTGCTATCTCTTGTTAATGGGGGTAGGCCTGGCCTGTGCAGGAGGCCCACGAAGCTTCCAGCTCCTCATCATCCCACCCGTTGCTTCTCTCCCACTGGCACTGTCTCTTCTCCTGCAGGGCGGCCCTGATGCAGGTGAGGAAGCTGGAAGGGGGAAAGCAGAGATGGGCAGGCTGCCAGAAGTAGGTCCTGCCTGTCCCTCTGCCTCCTGTGGAAAGGAAGGACCAGAGGGGCCAGAGAGCCTGAGGACCAGCTATGAGTAAGTAGCCACAGTGACCTGGCTGGCCTCTGGGACATACGGTACTGAACCGTCACTTGCTCAGATCACACTGACAGTAAGTCAATCCTCCCAGGGGCTGGAACCAGTGACGGGGCAGAGCACTGAGCTGGGAAGCATTCGTCCTGATCCCCTGCCCTGAGGGTGAGGCAAGGACAGGTACCTTCTCCATGCTTTGTGACCGCAAACCTGGCAGTGTGACCCTAGAGAGTCCTCCCAGGCACAGGCACTGGAGAAAGCCCTGTTTGAGCATCGGTGGGGTATCTTACACGCCTGATCTTTAACATCTCAAATGTTCTAATTTCCAGAAAATACTACTCTTTAATCTCCCACTCCTTCAAGATCCAGGTTAACCCTGACTGCCCAGGGCATCCCTGCCCTGAGCCCTTGTGGGGCTGGCTCCTTTGCCCACCATTCAGTGGACATCTCCTGAGAGCGGTGAGATGCAGGGCATAGGCAGGGGCAGACACAGCCCCTGTCCTGGGAGACTGAAGGGGGCAGTCCACGTGGTGGCCCACAGCAGTGCTAGACAGAGGAGGCTGGGGTCGCACAGCAAGGAAAGCTTTGATCAGGATATGGGTCAGGGAAGGCTTAAGAGCAAAGGAAGCATCTAACTAAACCTTGATCAATAAATTAAAGATATCAAGGAGGGAAGGAAAGCAGAAACAAAGGAAAGGAGAATTTAAACCCATGACCCTGTAAAGGGATCTGTGAAAATTCTGAATAAAATGGTTCCCCTGGGCTTCTGATCTCTGTAACGTGCACTGACTAAGAAAACTCCCCGTGCTGACAATGTGAATCACTTCCTCATTCCCATCCCACGGTGAGCTCAGGGATGGCATAAATGGGCCAAGTTCATGAAGAACCCACACGTGCACCCTCTGTCAGTCCTACGATAACTGGCTGGGGCTGTAGTGCCTGTGTGTTTGTTTCCAAAGCTGGGATCCACGAAAGTCCATCCAGAAGCCCCCGTGGATAAGAACTCTGATGGGCACACCGGGATGAGATTATGACAGGAGGTAAGAGGCCACTGCCTGCCTTGCCTATGTGCAGACACCCCTCCAGTCAAGGTAAAGGCCGGACAGAAATCCTTGCATAAAAACTGCCAA